TCTTCCCTAGACTATCAGATCGCGGGCAATTTATGGCAGTACATTCCTGCCAGCTTTCAATGGCCACATAAATCGCAGCCTCATCAGGACTTTCTGCCCTTATTAGAGATGTGTGAAGCTAAGTGGTCAGCAACCGAAGCTAAGCCTGCCATAGTTCAAGCTGCAGTTTCCAACAGTCTTGGGCCCACGCAGCATGTGTGTCGGGGCAAGCCTTGATTTCAAAGCAGCCCACAAACAGGTCAAGGTACGTGAGCAAGATCAAGGCCTTTTCCTCTTCAAGTTCAAACGAGCTTTATGGCCACGTAGTCTGTCACTTTGGAGTCCGCTTCTCAGCCTATTGGTGGCAACGCCTCGGAGCCCTCCTGTTGCGCGTAACTTACGGCCTTTCTGGCGCAACAGCCCCTCACAGCCTGGCTCTACGTAGGTGATCTCCTAGCCCCCATCTCCTGGAAGAAGGCAGCCTTCGCAGACTGCGCCATCTGGTGTGGATGGAAATTCAACTTCGGTTCAGCTGGAGCCAGATAAGCTGGGCTAGCAGAGCAAATTCAAACCTGGCTCAGCCAAAAAAGTGAACAAAAAGGTTTTACAATTGTGCTTTGGCCTCCTCAAATACTGGGGCCACAGCGATTAGCCACCATCTCCGCCCCTATACAGCCCCCCTTGATTCTGATCTGCGCAGCCCGCCAGGCACGGTTTACAGCATTCCCTCGCAAATGTGGCAGAGATTCCTCTTCAGCCTTGTCCAGAGTCCAAAGCCATGGTAGTTAAGCCCCCGTCCGGCCTGCGCATACCAGCCTCCTCAAGGTCATCGAAGTGGGCAGCATTTGAGTCAGAAGAAAATCTGACGTGCCATTTTTGCCCCGCTCCAAACGAGTCACTTGGGTTCGCGTTGCAGACCCCACAGCCTCGGAAATAGTTTAGCCCTCACCAAAAACAGCACAGTGTCCCTAGCTTGGCTTCTCTCGTGCGTTCAAGCCACGCTCACAAAGTCTCTGTCAGATTCGCGCCTCTTGCAATATGCCTTTCCGCAGCGGACGCCGTGGCAGAAGGATACAAAGTGGGTATAGGAGGATGGCTGTGCGCCAAAGATGGTCTGCGCTGGTTCTCCGAGATCTGGTTTATGTCAGACGTTCGAGCCTTATGACCAGAAGTACATAGCCATGCTCGCAGGCTCGGACAACACAAAAGCCTTTTCCACAGCCTTTCCACTCAGCCTTTTCCTGCGCCTGGTAGCCTGGTCGCATGCGCGCTCTGTAGCCCTGCTGGTCTCTCACGTTTCAGGGCAGAAAAGTGTGGGCGGACGAGCTGAGCCGAGACAAGCTCGACAGGTTCAAGTCAAAGCCCTTAGCCCGTTTTCGGTTCACACTCAGCCAGCTGTGCCAGCGAGAACCCGTAATTTTGCATCCCTCGCACGCGAGGTGGAGGGAAAATTTTGTAGAAGCCTCAACGCGGATGCTGCCTGCAGCCCCCTTTTGCAGCTAGACGTAGAGAGCCTCCTACAGAGGGTTTTTTCCATTAGCTGTCAGGCCTGCTGCAGCCGCGAGCCTTGGCCTAAACACAGCCTACTCCAGCAGACTTTAGCGCAAGCCTTGACCTTCCCTTTGAAGTACCCAGGCTCTCTTCTTTCGTTTCTGCCCTCGCTCAGCCCAAGCCTTAGCTTTAGTTCCCTGAACGCAACCCTCGCGCGGAGGGAGATCTAGGGGAAAGCCCGCAGCCTCCCGCAGGGACAGGGTTGCTCTGAGTCACCAAAGAGGGGGCGAACGGATTGGCCAGAGAAGCTTGAAGCCTTCCTGCCTCCAAGCCCTCTGTGAGCTACACTCAGAGCAACCCAAGAAAAAAGGGGAGTGCTGCTCTTGTGCTTGTTGTGGTAGGTCTTGGACAGGACGAGTGCAACCACACAGAACACGAAGAGTTTTTCTTTTCTCTTGTGTTTTGTTGTGTGTTGTGAATTTTGTGCCGCACCGCTGCCACTGCCGCTCCTAGGCCAAGACCTTTAGCCCATTTCAAGCCTTCAAGTAGAGCGCTTTCTACGTGGCAGAAATTTTGACCCGCCTTCCCAGTCCCTTTTAGCCCTGTGCCCAGCTTCCTGTGCCCAGGTGTGGACGTCGAGTCTGAACCAGCCCCAGTTGCGTTTCACCAGCCTTTTCAAGCAGTCCTTGTGAGCCTGCTGCCTACAGGACTTCTAAAGCCTGCTGTGCTCAGCCCTCGCTTGGGCCCCAGTGCTCTGCACTGTTGCAACTTACAAAGCCTGACCGTTCTCAGGTCAGCCCCAGCCCGTTGAGCTGGGTTTTTTCAGCTCTTTCACCAAGTCCAAACCTCAGTTTGGCCCAGGGGCCTTTTCTGGTTTCAAGTCTTACATTTTTCACCAGGGGGCGGATGGATTGGCCAGAGAAGCTTGAAGCCTTCCTGCCTCCAAGGTCTCTGTGAGCTACATTCAGAGCATCCCAAGAAAAACGGAGAGTGCTACCCTTGAGCTTGTTGTGGTAGGTCTTGGACAGGAGCAGTGCAACCACACAGAACACTTTGCCACTTTTGAACAAAGAACGCTTTGAACGTATGGATTGCAAGGGTTGCAAACGTTTCCAACCATTCCGACGCTCCATCCAGGGGTGTGCGTGGGTTCCCTCCTAGCATTCGAGTACACCTGATTCTGGGATCTTGATCCCAGGAATTCGTTATACTTAGGGGAACTGCGTGTCTTGTGGGATAACACTTGTGTCTTATGGGACTCACGCTTGCAGGAAACTTGCTGGACACCCCGTGCGTTGCGGGATAACACTTGTCCCTTATGGGACTGACGCTTGAAGGAACCTCGTTAAACACCCAGTGCTTGTACCAATGCGAGATTTACCAGTCCATTGAAGGATGTGTACAAACCTTTCGGCAACCCCATGTGCAGAAAAATTAGGTCGATCTGCGTTGTAGCAATCCATGTTGTTGCGCACGCATGTTCTGCAGTGCACATGTCAATGCAGTCATGTCCCTTCCTGCCAAGAATCATTTAGTTTGCTTTATGAGATTGGTAGCACAAAAAATGAATAAACAGATGATCCTTCGCGGCTTTGCCTGAAAGGATTGAGGACATCCTTTGGCAGCATCTGGAGCGGGATGTGTTATACATTGCTCGAGGACGCAGGGGGGGTTCAGTCGGGCAATGTGGACAGACTCCCCATGTGGAAAAAAAAGAATTCCTCTGCATGCATACAATCCAGTATATACAACATTTGGAAAAAAACAATTTGTGATTATGTATTTCCATATCTACTGGGTGCGCTTTTGATTGAGATTGCACAAGCGTGCTACATCATGTAAATTCCATGTGCATCCTTCAAGAATCTTTATGTGATGGCTCACAGCCCTCTGACTTTTGTGCAAGCCCTATGTACTATGCCGAAAGGCAACCCAAAAATTGTGGTACTCGCGACGCAAATGGTTCTTAACATTAGCTTTCTCGCCCGTTTTTGTATTCGTTGACTGATATTAGGGCAATGCTAGTCGCTGGTTTTTACAATTTTCATACCTACGAAGTTCGTCGGATCCTCTTAGCAACCGAATACCAGACATTGTTTGTAGCACGAAAATTCTTGTTGGTAACGGGCGTTGTGATTTTGAGCCCAATATTTCCGGCCTGCTCATTTTGCAGTGGTTTTCCGCAAGCGCGTTTTGTTGGGGGTATGGAAGATCACAAGATTCGGTACGGATTATGTAATGGAGCCCGCAGCGATTTTCAGCAAAAAACACACATGTTACAAAGATATGATGTTGAGTGCATAGGCCACATGGGAATTCGAAAGAAACCGAACAGCGAAATGTAAAAATGCTTCTTGGGTATAGATGTAGAGACGGGAGGGGGAACCATTAGGATGCTACATGGGATCGTTAGCAGATTCCACCGCGATCGTGGGGTCTTGTTATGCGGTCTCAAAGTTCCAAACATGTCATCACGAGAGTAAGCTGTAAGGGGGCGGGTCAACGTTCCCTGCTGATGTTCCATCCGCCTTCAATTTATGTCTAGTCGCTTTTCCACCCTAATCCCACGTTTTGATAATTTGGATACCAACCATTACTCAATTATGTATTGTTTAGGGAAAGATTTCTAGTTGGAATTATTATGACGTGCAGGTGGGTATTATGTTTAGAGGAGTTGGATTACATTGAATGGATGGAAGCAGACTGCGGGCAGAAACCCAAATTCTAGCCCCAAAGTCCAGCTCCAGATCCCCAATAGCATTCATCAGCACCCCCAGAAATGCATCAATCGCTAATTTGTTTGCTGCCCAGGGGTTTTGAACATAGATTAACACATTGTTGTAGCCATGGTGTAGCTAAGCAAAAGCGCACGGGTGTCACAATGTCGCCCAGGGATCTCGCAGGACTTGCAAGCAAACGTCAGGAGGCAAAAACCTTTCGAATCATGTTTTGATTTACCTGTTGGTAATCAATTTTCCCGAAGGTGTTCAGATCACAAGTTGTTCTTGTCAAAATGCTGCAGACAATTCTGACGCATTGCCAGGTGCTCTGATTTTGTGGGCGCAATATATAAAGGCGAGCGAGTGTGCTTTGCCATGTGCCGCAGATGTCAGAACGACGAGGAATTGTTTGTTTTGCAAAGAATTGATATACAGGCCGTCCGGATGTGATTGTATGTCCATACAAGTCTTAGGATGCACAGGTAACAAGAATTGAGTGAGGTTGAGTAAGATTGTTTTGAACATCCGACGTTTCGTATGTCATATGTTGATGGAAAGTGTCACGCATGCGTTCCACCCGGTTTATTACTTGTTCGATTGTTTCGGACAATGGTGAACATTTTCAAGCATGGAACATGACTTCAACCTTGTCCGCTTCAAATGCTACTGTAAGTTTCATTTTCTACATGACAAACCACCATTGCGAGCATTGCGGTTTAAGCCGCTGTTGGTATCTAAATTTGCTGTGGCTTCTGTGGCTGTTTGGCCCAGCCTTTTCTTAGAAAGCTTCGGGCTACCTTTCCGAGCGCAATGAAGGTTGGACTACTTTGTTTGGCATGGCTGGTGCAAGCCGCAGCGCTGACCTTGCAGTCCGACGAGGCGGAGCGCCCGACAACAAAGGTCGTGAAATTGCTGAAAACCATGCAGGTGCGGGGCAGTCGAATAGGTGGGGCAAAGAGGGAGGAGGTATGTTTTGGCATTTGCCAAAGCATTGTCACATGTGTGTTGTTGTTTTTCTTGTATCAACTAAACCAGTTCGTGTCCACCATATTAATCATAGCTTGTTTTGCATCTGCATGAGGAGACCGTTGAAAGTGAAGCGAAAGCCGATGAGGACACGTACGACAAGTTTAAATGCTGGTGCCATGAAAATACGGATGCCAAGACCAAAGCTGCTGCGGAAGCAGAGACGACTTCGAGGGAGCTGAAGCCAGCCGCCATCCAGTATGCCACAGTTTCCAACAGAATGTTTGATAAGGATGACTCTGGGCATTGTTGTTGTAATTTGGTTTGGGAACCAGCAACAAGGAAAGAGCGAGTGGAAATCCTCATCGCGCAGAGCGAACGCCTCAAGGGAGAGATCGAAACCGCAGAGGACGAGGTGGATAACTCTTTCATTGCAAAAAAAAACAGCAAAAGCCGACTGCAAGTCTACAGAATGCATGAGCTAAAAACATTTCCAGCTTTGTAACGAACTCCTTGCGGACGGCCCCTGCCGCGTTGGGATATGTTGGGATTGTCAAAGATGCAGCTTGAACTTGTAGTGCCCCAATTACTATGGGGACTCCCAAAAAGGTACCCGAACCGTAAGCCCTACACCTTATATAACCTTATATATAACCTTACATAGCCTGATATAACCTTATATGGCCTGATATAACCCCTTTTTCACCCCTATATAATCTCTGTAATCCCGTTTGAAGGTACCTCTACTTTTGGGAACTCCCAACTTGTCCAGGTGGCTAAGAACCAAGCTGCGTTGGACACGGCCACAGCGCTTCGAAAACAGCAGCACCTAGATCAATCTAAGAAAAGTTTGCCGATTGGGGTTGGGTTTGTTTTCGATTGTGTGATTTTGTTGGGCTTTTTCATTGCGTGACACGGGGCGGTATACATTACCCGGAACCTGGACACGAAAGCCTAACTATATCATAGTATTTTTATATCGTATTTTAGTATTCTTATACTATATTATAGCATTGTACTATGCTAAAGTATTATCACACGATTCAGACCCCAAGCCCCGAAAGTCGAGCGGATGGACAGGAACGAAGAGTTCATCGACGATCGCAGGCGCCTGGAAGGCGACATCTCGGGCGTGAAGCCGCTCAGTTGGCATTTCCCAAGTTTTTGGTCTAACCCTAAACCCTAAACCTTAAACCCCTAGGGTTTATTTTGGTTTAGGGTTTAGGGTTTAAGGTCGCAATAATGCAATCAGCAGAAATTGCGAATCACGCTAGTCCGCTTATCATGGCAGCTGTGTTGGTTCTGTTAAGGTTCGTAAGCTTGTGCAGGTGAGAAAGATACAGATACCTGTGTGTAATCCTAGTTGCCATCCTGAATTTGCATGTGGGTCGCACTTGTTATAGGGAGACCATAGCCATGACGCCTAGAACAAGATTTTCATGAAGGAATCAGTCGCGCTTAAAAATGACTCAATCGGGCATTTTGCTCGTCGCCTTGATGTGAATTAAAACATATACTACAAAATCCATGTCTCATTGTGCAGCCAAGCCCCCCAAAAGTCGCACATGCAAGAAGGATGCAAGCAACCCACCGCAATTTTGAGAATCCCCATATGATCCCCTCGCATTCTTGACTGCCCTCTGTATATTCAAATATACTGAAGGAGGAACATGCTTTGGAGAAACCCACAGTTGGTTGAGGAGTGCCAAAGCCGCCTTCAACAGTCCCGAGGGAGGTGGGCAGTTCCCGAAAAGGAGTAGGCGGGGAGTTCTGACAGTTTGTGTGTGTGTTTGTTGACGTCCTGCAGGTGCTTTCCTCCAGTCCAAGGTTAGTGCTGTCCGCCCAGTGCTGCAGCAGCTGATGAAGGACCATCTCACTAAGCTCAGCATTGATGACAGGGAGACCTTGAATTCTTTCCTGCAGCGCGGAGATGGCGTGGACGGGGTTCTGGGCGTCCTCGAAGGGCTGAAGGATGATTTCAACGAGGAGTTGGTGAAGCTGAATGATGATGAGGCCACTGCTTTGGCACAGTACGAAGACTTGGCTGCAGCCAAGAAGGCCGAAATCAAGGCTGGCGAGGCCCAGGTGGAGGCCAAGAAGGAGGAGCGAGCCCAAGCGAACGCGGAGCACGCCCAGAAGAAGCAGGACATCAAGGACACGCAGGCACTCATGGGCGCGGACCTGTCCTTTGTGGATGATGTGAAGAAGCAGTGTGCGGAAATGGATGCTGAGTGGGATGAGCGTCAGAAGATCCGGGCTGCTGAGGCCGAAGGCATCTCCAAGGCCATCGAGATCCTGGATGCGGAGGAGGCACATGCCAACTTCGCAAAAACCTTCTCCTTCCTCCAGGAGTCCGCGGAGCACACGGAACATGCGGAGCCCGGCCGTGCTGAGGCAGCCCGTGTCCTTGCCGATGCGGGACACCGCGATGCCCGCTTGGCCGCGCTGGCCATGTCGGCGAAGATCGACAAGTTCACCAAGGCCCGGCCATTGAAAACCTCCCAGCGGCACTCTTCTCTTCTCCTCCTCTTGTTCTTCTTCTTGTGCTTGTTGTGCTTCGCCTGAGGTAAAGAAGGCTATGGACGACATGGTCTTCACCCTGACCAAGGAGCAGGAGGATGAGGTGAAGCAGCGGGATTTCTGCGTCCAAGAGTTCCAGGAGAACGAGGTCGAGACTGCCGACAAGACGCGGTTGAAGACGTCCCTCCTCGCTAAAGAGCAGGCTATTGATGTGAAGAAGCCACAGACCGAGATTGAGACCTTGGAGGCTGAGGTGGCTGACATGCAGAAGCAGCTGAAAAAGGCCGGCGAGAATCGGGAGAAGGAGAATGAGGAGTTCCAAACCGTGGTGGAGGATCAGCGCAAGACCCAAAAACTCCTGAAGGATGCCATGGAGGTTTTGGGCAAGTTTTACAAGACTGAGGCCATGATCCAGGTCCATGCTCACGCAGGCCCAGAGGCTCCAGGAGGCTTCAAGGACTACAAGGCCAACGAGAAGAGCTTCGGTGTCCTCTCTATGCTTCAGAAGCTGATTGACGACTCCAAGGCAATGGAAGCAGAGTCCGTGCGCGCGGAGAAGAGTGCGCAAAAGGCCTATGAGGCCTTCTCTGCCGACACTACGGCCTCAGTGGAGAAGAAGGAGACAGCCATCATGGACAAGAAGGCTGAGAAAGCAGGTCTGGAGAAGACTTTGGTCCAAACACGCAAAGGCCGTGAAGGCGCGGAGGATGCTCTCTCGAACCTGGCAGACACCAAGGCTGGCCTCCACGAGAGCTGCGACTTCCTCATGAAGAACTTCGAAGCCCGGCAGGCAGCCCGCACTGATGAGATGGACTCCGTCAAGAAGGCCAAGGCCATCCTCTCCGGAGCCACTTTCGCCGAGATCCAGCTCGACTGAGGGGCCTGAGGCGGCACAGACCTGATAAGCGCAGCCTGTGCTGGAAACTTGCTTTAGACGATTAGACTTATTACAGCAATTCGCAGGCCGTTTCCCGTGTTTTTGTGCTCAGTCTTCCGGTCGAGAACCGCTTGGCTCGCAGTGCCCAAACCACGCAGGCGCATGGCCGCGGACACGTCAGCCCCCAACCTACACCCTCAAGCTTGCCAACCTCACGTCAAACCGAGCACTCCTGAAGCCTGAACTCCGAACCCAAGCTAAGACCTTGGTATCCTCCACCCTGAGAGAATCAGCCCCGTCAAATCACATGGAGGTCAGCCCACACCTCAAGTTCAACCCACGCAGCGTATCCTGGCCTTGGGCATTCCAGTGATGGGCCATCGCCAGGGGCGCAGCATGAGCCCTGCCTTCGCCGAGTCGTCGCCTCAGGTCGAATAGTTACTTATTAAGAATGGGGAATCATCGGAGAAAAATGAAGGGAAGCTGCCCTTATACATATTTTGGTTTGTAGGGTCAGTGAGTTTATAGGGTTTAGGGAGTGCAGTGTTCCAAAGTGGTAGTGATGTTTGTGATTCGGTATTCGTGGCAGCAGCAGCAGCAGCAGCAGCAGGAGGAGGCGTAGGAGTATTATTATTATTATTAGTAGTAGTAGTAGGAGTAGCATCCGTAGTCATGGAGTGACAGTAGCAGGACAAGCGAGTAAATCGTTTGCTTGTTTCAGTGTTAATATAGGAAAACTGGGAAAGGAACCGTTATAACTGCCATACCAGCTCCTGTGCCATCATTTGGTTACTATTACTGCTAGCTTTATCGATGCTGTTGCTGGATCTCTTTTGAAGTGGAGCTTTGCATTGTTTTTTTTCTGACACGTGGGACTTTCTCATCCGCTATGCCGAGAGATCAGAATTCTTTGTACAAGGTCCGCCTGCAGAAGGCTAAATCAAAAAGCTGTGCGGAACATAATATCCTAAACCCAAGCCTCCTTTTTGGTCATCGGGAGCTGCACTCGTTTCACCTCACTTGCTTGCAGCATGTCCAACAGAAACCCATTGCAGTCAGGTACTCGCAGGGCCCTCTCTCCAGCACTCCCATACTACTGCCATGAGAGCTCTACACATCACCCCTAAACCTTCATGTCACCTCAGAGTTACCCGGTCAAGCTAAGGTATGGAAGAAGAGGCTGCTGCTGCAGCTGCAGCTGGTTGTGCTTGGGTGGTGTCATAGATAGATGTGTGGCTCATGGGGGGGCTTATAACGGTTTGGATGCAACACAGATTGTTGTGGGGATGATTGAAGTCGTACGATATGTGATATAGCCAGTCTGTTGCTTTTCCAAGGTTTGGTAGGATTTTGGTTGGAGACGGCTCTTTCGACATAGCTGAAGTTTTGTTCGGCTGGATTGTGATGTGCTCCCAGGCTAGCTGTTGTCTTGAGGCTGACTTACCGTAGTTCATGCTGTTGCCGACTTGACGTTACCTATGAGTAAATCTCTGTCAGCAATGCTAAATGTCTTCAAAAAATTGGCAGTGTTTAGGTTTCACGGATACCCTCATCGCCAAGCGCTTCTGGGAACACCAGGCTGAAATTCGCATCCACGCATCATGCAGGGTCAGTAATGCCTGTGCAGGCGCTTGACGTGGACGAAGTTGGGGCCTCAACCCTCCCTCGTTTGGTCAGGCTTCCGGGCATACGTCCCCGTAATACGGATATGGAAGTCCTTGTATGGAAAGAGTCCAGGAGCATGGGTCCCCCTAACGTGCTGTACTCCGGTCCGGGATCCATATTGCGACTATGTCCATACCCTTTGGAGCGGTGGCAGTGTCAAATTGTTGTCAGAGTGTTTTTGTCCTGGCAATCAAGAATCACTTCTTGAATGGCCAGGGTCAGATACAACTCAATGAGAGAACCTAAACATTGGCGGGAAGAGATGCGAAGTAACTACTTTCAGCCCCTGCAGATCACCTTGTGCCTCAACCCTGTCATCTGTAAGAAGTGTAAGTAGCCGTGGCCCTCAACCTTCATTCTAGACCTATCCTTACTAGTGTTTGTGTCATTGTCTTCCTGTGTTTATGGTTTTACTCTCGCCAACCAGTAAACTGTTAACCCGAAACAAACCCTGAACCCTAAGCCTTAAGCCTTAAACCCCAAACCCTCCTGGCCTTAAATCCCTTAGGACCGGGAAAGCAGCTTTCGCGAGCAGCTGGCTTCGAGCGGTTCTGAGATCTGAGTGTTTGATAGAAATGAGAGGGGTCCCTTTCAAGGGGTATATACTATAGTATGTTGGGGCTTTATGTTGGGGCTGTATTGGGAACATCGAGGGAGAATCCAAGGGTAAATAGGGTTGACCCCTGCTTTCGGAATCCTTCCAATGACTGTTGTAGTCTATAGGGGCCCATATTGGAGCTCCCACCTTCAAAAAAAAATACCACATGTATTCAGACCTTGGGCTTTAGGGATCGTGGATTAAATTGGGACGTAGGGGCAGCAACCCTAAAACCGAACCCTAAACCGTACACCCGAAACTGTGCGCTTGAAGGTTCGGAGGGCTTCAGGCTTTGAAAGCTGGTTGTAAGCTGGTTTGAGGCATGAGGGTTGTTATCCTTGTTATTCTTAGCATTGGTAAAATGGTCTCATCATTCTTCTTGTTCATGTAGGGGTTAGTTAGGGTTTAATGAGACCCAAAATCCTAAAACCGCAAAACCCTTAACGCTAAACACTTAACCCTAGATCCTTAACCCTAAACCCTTAACCCTAAATCCTTATCCCTAAATCCTTAACCCCAATCCCAAACCCGTAACCGCTTGGTGCTCCCAGGCCCCAGCATCCGGGGAGCCTTGTCGCCCGCCGGGTAGGAGAGGGCGGACCACGAGGCCGGGCCTGAGAGTACCATCATAGGGGTACATGAGGTTAGGATAAAGGGTTTAGGGTTAGGGGTTTAGGGTTTGGGGTTTAGGGGTTTTAGGGTTCAGGGGGGTTTTGGGTTTAGGGTTAAGGGTTTTAATGTTTTAGGGTTTGGGATTTGCGGGTTCAGGGTTTGGGGTTTGGGGTTTAGGGTGTGGGGTATGTATTTGGGTTGGGAGTTATGGAAGAGCAGATGAAAACGACTGTCGTGTAATGTATTTGGGTTACATATAGGGAGTTATGGAAAAGAAAATGGAGAATGATGTAGTATATTAGGATATTGACTAGGGTTGTGGCTGAGATTTTAGGGTTTAGGTTGTGGGGTTTGGATTTTAGGGTTCAGTTTTTCAGCTATATGGCTGCCATGCGCACTACAGCTTCTGTACATGCTTAGGCAAAAGCCATGGATGGCGCGTAGCGCAATCTCCAGATGAGCTACTGTCAGTATAAGTGCTACCAGGAGGTTCTTTAAAGGGGTTATCGAAATTATATATGTGTATATAGGAATAATGGAAATTCAAGCGGAAAAGAACATGGAGCCAGAAATGGAAACAGGGTTTATGTAGAATCCTTATGGAACTGCTATCAATATTGGGCTTACCCAGAGAGGGTGTCTTAGTAAAGTCCCTAGTAGATTCCCTAGTGAGGCGCCCATGTCCATAAACTATAGGCGGAATATTGACTGAAGCTCAGACAGAACAGCGGCTTATGTATTGATTACATGTCGGTATTGCATAAAGTTTTGTTCAAGGGGTATTTGCGCGATTTCAAGGGGAAAACGGGCATTCTTTTCGTGCGTGGGTTTTTGTTAAACGACTCGAAGCCCTTAACCTGCAAGGTTTTCTTTGGGCTGAGACTTATCACTTAGGTGGACACCCCACCCAGTAAAAGTGGCTATAAGGGAAAGTAAAGATTATATGAGGTCCCGTCATTTTCGAAGTATACCACTATTACAGGGGTCCTCCTAACTTATCACGGTGGAGTAATAGGCATGCGCTGGCACCTAGTTCAGTGCCGAAGAATTGCGTCATTACGGTTCGGGGCAATGGAAATGCATCAAACCCTTTCCGTGCGCTTGGACAAGCTGGGGACCTGAAACTGCAGAATTGCCTCACACGAGTAGTATTTTAGTTGGGGACACTATAGCAAGATTATATCATGTTTTTGGGTTTAGTATAGTACATACAGAATATATTCAGTCTTATTTTCAGCCACCAAGAAAACGCTTCTCAATGCTACTCACATGGCCAAAGAGACCTGGACAGGGCATACCTTCTCAGCCTCTACCTTGTCCAAGCCAACGTGATTCCAAAACCTACAGGAAAGTACGAGCGAATGCTAGTTACTTACCCCGCGGATTTTTTCTTCTACTTGCTAAGGACCTGGGCCATTGCTGGAGGATTGTGCCACAGTTGTGCGGAACTCAGTGTGTAAACGTATACGCACACACACGTACAGTGTTCAAAGTGAGCCATACCTACGATGTTGTGAAATAACGAACTATAAAGTGTACGGTATCTACGGGTTTGAAATGTTGACGGCTTCTGCTAGCAGTCATGATTTCAGGTGCCAATCCCAAACCTTCGAGGGAGACCCAGCAGTCCAGGTTGTGGGAAAGACATTTCCTCTTTCAAAGTTCAGCCTAGCCTATCACATCCGTCTAATTTGAACGGTCCCTCCCTCCCTCCCTTCCTCCCTGCCGTGCTGCAAGGCTGCTGGTAGATACTGATGAGGAATCTTTTGAGGGGATTTCCTTGCACTCTCAGCCACTGTACACCTGGCAAAGGTGCAGCAGCCTGTTCTACCCAACGGTCCCCATCTTGGAGCGGTTGGCAGTTCTTGCTTGCAATAACGAAACATGTAGAGGAGAGAGAGAGAGAGAGCAAAGTGATTTTTTTTTGCTTTGTTCTATGTGGGGTTTCGCCAAATGGTAATTTGCAATGGCTCGCAAGTATGGTATGCAATGCACATGTGGTAGAGTAGCCCATAACTTTTGCCCTTGAAACACGTGTGAAAACAAGTTCTGGGGACAACTCGCAGTGTGTAGTGTCTGGTGCAGCTAATCAGCTCCTCAAAAAAGTTACTCCCAAAACGAGATG